ATGCCACTAAGGGATTCACAGAACATTAAAATTTATACTAGAAAGAACACTTCAGGTTCATATTTTTTTAAAGTTGTAAATATATACAATATGCCAGGTAATGTAGGAATAGAAATAATCAAATGAATAATAAATTGCAAGTCTGAAAAAATTTCAGATAGGCATGTGTTACCCCCAGTTTTGGAAATAAGCCAGCTCTCGTGCCAGTGTGTGAGCCCTGCTGCACACGCGCGCGGGGCTTGTGAGATCGTGCTCTTGACAGCAGCTCAAGTCAACGTGAAAAATCATTCGTCTTTGCCCTCCACTTTGCTATCAAAACAGCAATGACCAAACCCAGTACATTTTCTTAAAAAAAAAAAAAAAAAAAAAAAAAAAATTCAATGGCAATTACAAACTTCCTACAATTTTCAGCACTGCCTCCTACATGTTCGGGAAAGCTGAGCATTGTCACACGTGTGCAGCCGAGAAGACGCGAGGGCCGAGTGTCCAGCTTAGTCGGCAGCAGCGGTAGAGCCGGGCCTCAATCCTCTAATTTGACTCAGTCTCTTCTTTCATCACCCGCCATCTGTCCACCCCCCCGGGCCGGGCTGCCATGAGGCAGGAGCTGCACCGCTGGGAAAGGCCCATCCCCGGGGCTGTGACTCCTGTGGGAGTTTGCTTCGCCCGGCGTGTGTTCAGGTTAGCAGAGATCTTGAAGATCCAAAACCTTAAGGCTTCATGATGAGAACTTCAGCCAGCAGATGCCACTGGTTTTTCCAGGGTCACATAACTGAAATGATCTTGAAGACAAACAGGCCTGGGCCCCTCAGCTTCACTAGAGCTGCGCCTCCTTCTCAGACAAAGCAGCCTCGTGAGAACCATTCTTAAAGTTCACCACTAGATAAAGTCCCGGGAAGAGATCCGCTGTGAAGACTGCGGGACGGGTGAGACGTCCGCCTGGACGCCAGTTGGAGGCAAAATGTGGCAGGGGAGGGGACCCTGAAGGAGACCGTCAGAGCTCCGTGTTAGCCACCTAGACGGGGAGCTTGACTCCAGCGCAACTCGGAGCCCCTTCGGCAGTATCCCGGGAAGAGGCAGAAGCAAGGCCCGATACCCCGAGGCCGCATCTCCTTAAGCGGCTCCCGAGCATTGGTACAGACAGAAAGTTTTCAGACCTGCTGAAGTTAGAGAACATACTATTCTAAGGAGATTTAAAAATATTTGTGAATGTGTTAATGTAAGGTTTTGAAAGACCATTACATTCCATTAGTGAGTAAAAGAGAAACGCTGATGAGTTCAGAGGGTCCCTTTAAACGCTGCGTTTACTGATCAAGCTTCGTGAGACGGGGCGGGAGAGCACCACGCTACTGGACAGGGAGAGCTGGAGGACGCTGCTGACGCCATTCACCATGCGGGGAAGCGGGGAGACCGCTGCTGCGGGCCTCAGACACTGCACCGAGCGGGGCGAGAGGCAGCAGAGCGAAGGCCATTGGCCTAGACGCCAAGCCCGCGGGCGCCATGATGGACACTGAGGACGGGCCCCTGGCGGAGCCAGAGTCTTCAGACTGGAGTTTGAGAAGAACAAAGACATTTAGCAGGAGTTAAGAAAAATAGTAAATTAACCCAGGATGATGTCTGAGGTTAAAGAATCAAACTGTTGAACTGTTAATTATTTTAGGAAGTCTTTTGTTAGTGGTGAAGTATCAGGAGACTGGAAAACAAGGAATCTAGTCTGAAGGTTAAAAAGAAAGAAGGGAGAGGCTGAAAATTATAGAGCTGTAAGTCTAACATCTATATTAGGAAATAAATCTGAGATGATACTTATGGATGAGCCTAATGATACATTTGCAGAAGTACAATTTAATAGGAGTGAGTCAGCATGGACTTACCAAAGGCAATCATGTCAGAAAAAATTTCGTTCCTTTTTAGGTTGAAGTAATAATTGGTTTATGTAAGGGAGAACCAATGAAAAACTGTCAGGATTTTCTCAGATTTTTGGACCTTTTCATAAAATGAATTATCGCACAAAATGTCGTGACGAGTGTCAGAGCATGCAACTAACAAAGGGGGTGAAAGTAACGGGGTTAAAAATAGAGGCCAAAGAAATCGGGGAGAGGCTGCACTCGCAGGCTCCTGCATCAGAACGCCGCTGTTCTTAATTAACGTGAAGAAGCCTTCTATACTAGGAAATCAGAACAGACCCTAAATGAGCGGGATGGTTACATACAAAAGGCTACAGCGGTTCTAACTGCCAGAGGTGAAGCCAACGGGCGCAGAGGTGGGGCGGGAGGCTTAACCTGCCTGATACGAAATGACGCGCTGGGTAGAATTAAGGAACAGTTAAGTGGAGTTTCAAGGGGGCTGAATTAGTTGCCAGTAGAAAGAAAAAGGATTTGGGGTTTTGAGAAGAGTCAAACTTTCACATTCTTATTCTTACAACTGGGGAAGAAGCAAATGCTATAAAGTGCAATTAAGTAATACATGCCACAAAGAATTAAAAAACTTATTATCTATCTGGGAGAAGAATATGAAAACCCTAATTTGTGAAGAGCGAGTGACAGGTTCCTGCTCCACCACCCAGTGCAGGTAATAAGCCAGCAAGTGCCGGAAAATAACTGTCTTGAAACTATACGAACAGATGAAAATCTTATCAACTTAAATGTGATCAAAAATGGGAAAATAAAGGAAATTAGGGCAAATACCATGTCGTCACTGATGCTTGCTCTCCCCGTGGACGACGCCCAGCCCACGGTCCCCTTCGACAAAGATACTTTCTCTGCCGCTCCAGACCCGGCCCTCTAGGCCACGGGAAGACCCAGCCCGGCATCTTCCCGAGCTCTGGCACAGTGTGCTGGGCACCGCCTGCTTTCCAGGGCCTTCCAGGGCCTCAGGCCACGAGCATCAAGGGCCACATCAACAGCCCGTGTGCGCGGGCTCTCTGAGCCACAGGGCACGCCACTAAGTGGCCATGGGAAGTCACCAGGAGACCACTCTTCCTCCACGGCCAACTCAGAGCCTCCGGCGCCCCCTTGGCTGCCTCCACCTTAACCCCACTTCTTGCGGGGGCAGGGGGTTATGGGGTTCTGAGCTCTGACCATCCATGCACGTCCCTTTGAAGGACGCTTGCGTTGCCAATGTAACAAGTACTTGCTTCCACAACTTCCCATGGGCTCCCTGGACCATGGGCCTGGCACCACCACTGCAGCCCGGAGCCGCAGGCAGTGGAGCCAGGTCTGACTTCTAGAGGAGGAATGTGCAGCTACCCCATGGCCAGGGTTCCTGTGAGAACGCTGAGGAGACACAGGGCAGCACAGGGCGAGAACAACTGCATGGGAAGTGAGGCCGGGGGGCAGGGGGAGCCTCCCCATGAGGCACAGGGCGCAGGCCAGGTGCCCCCCGGGGCTGCAGAACCCTCCGCGGCTGCCAGCTGCTCCCTCCCCTCTTTTTTGGTGTTCCCTTCATTTTAAAGTCAGAGATACTTTATTTTAGGCAAACCACCTGTTTTTAATGTCTACCTGGTGGGTGTGAGGGGAGACAGCACCTCGATAACATAGCGCGAGAAGCAGGCACCCCAATGCCTCCTGGAAATGATCCTTGCTCACAACCCATCAACCTAGAGGGTTCTTAGGCCGGTTCACAGACCCTCCCCTTGGGTGCTGGGCCTGCACCTGCGCCGCCAGGTCTCTGCAGGCCGGACGGCCGGTGGCGAGATGTTCCAGTGCAGCTCCGTCTGGTCTCGCCAACTAAGTAGCAACTGCCAGGCTAGAAACCTCCCCGTGCCGAACTCACCGAAGGCTAAGCTGGTTTCAAACTAGCCCTGATACAACAGAGGTGACCCCCCAGCCTCCCGCCGCACGGCTCCAGGAGCTCGGGCAGAAGCCACGGAAGGCGGCCACGGGAAGCCCCAGTGGCCTTTCAGAGCACACCCTGGGGGGCTAAGACTTTTTCCATCTCAAATTACTTCTCGACTTGTTTCTAGTAACAAGGAGAAGCACATGACGGCACGGGCGGTCTGCTGACAGTCCTGCCTGTGGGGCGGGACTCCCCACGATGGCCAGCGTGTGGTTGCGTCCTCGGCATGGCCGCCCCATGGCCCAGCACCCGCTGAGGCGTACCGACCTGGGGGGAGCCTGGCCCGGCCCCGCTAAGAAGACACTGACTCAAGAGTGACCGTGAGTAGCCCAGGCCACTGGGAGGCCCGGGAGGCCAGCGGGGCCGGCGTGCTTTGACAGTGGCCCCCGCTCACCCCCAAACAGCCCCTGGACCGAGTGGCATTATGCAAAGACAGTCTGGGCTATCGGGACGACATCAGCTACTCCCTCTAAATGTCTATCTGGAAAGAGCGGCCCAGTGGGTGGCCCTCGCCCTCCTCGCCACGCTGCTGGCCTGCGCCACAAGAACCCGGCACCCAAGGTGCGCAGAGCCGGACGCGAGGAGGCTCTTCCACTCTTCCTCCAAGGCCAACTCAGAGCCTCCGGCGCTGCGGGACAGGCCGGCGGAGGCTGTGGCTGCAGTGCTGACCCTCAGAGGCGCTGACTCCCACTGTCCGGCAGGCTGCTGGCGCCCCGCGCACACGGGCCCCTTCCCTCCCGAGTCTGCAGACGAGTGGCCCGGGTCCCCCTCCCTGCGGCTCACTCACTCTCCTCCGCCACATTCTCCTCCTTTCCAGGACTGCACGGGACATGGTGGCACAGAAGGAGACAGTCCAACTTGCAGCACAAGTGGTTTTTGAAAAAAAATGTAAAACTTAACCCATTAGTCAAAATAGGAAGCTCAAATAACTGCTGTGGCCTCAGCCAGCTGGGTGCTTGAGGCGCACTACGACTGACCTCTGTGCCCAGAGGGCTATTCTGTCCCATCCGCTCCTGGTAAAACACGACGGCACCGGCCCGGGGCACACGAGGTGGGGAGGCCAGGACGGGCCGAGCCAGGGCGGGTCCTGCTGCTGCCCAGAGACCGGATGGGCGCTGTGGTCACAGGGTGGACGCAGCTTAAAGCCACCAGCCTCGGGGTGCCCTTACCGGCATGCAGGTAGGCCAGGTCGGGGTTCTCGATGTCGGGGTGCTGCTCCTTCAGGTGGTTGCGGAACTCCACGGGCACATTGGTGCCGTAGGCGCACTTGGGGCAGTTGTACATCCTCACGCCCTCATGCTTCCCGGTGTGCAGGATGTGCTTGCGGATGTTCTCGGCGCAGTTGGACCTGCGGGCGAGGGAGGAAACAGTGCGTTAAGGTCCAGGGAGAACATCATGGGAAACACCATCGCGGCCACACGCCAGCCTCGCCAGGCGGGCTCCGTGCTGGGGGCTGCTCTCAGCGAGAAGCAGTGGCTTGGGAGGCAGCTGCCAGGCCTGGGGTTCTGCGCCCCTGGAGCCAGGGCTGAGTCTTTACCCCGCTGGCTCTAGTGCTTAATTTCCACGCACAACTGGAAACCCAAATCCCTGGCTCTGTGGTTTTGATATCAAATTATCCTGGCACCACTTGAGGGCAGTGAAGGAGCTTCCTGCATCCGGGAACACACCTCTCAGCCCTGAGGAGGGGCGCAGCAAAGCGCTGCCGCCCGAGTAGAGAGCGTGACAGAGACAAGGCATCCCTGGCTTTTAAGTTCTGTCAAGCTTCTTTGTGAGGCTCCAAAACAGTCATGAGACTTGAAAAAGAGCAGCTAGAAACAGTGCCCACCCAGGTCGGGGCCACGTGCCGGGAGCCGAATGAGGGCCAAGACAGAGCTATGCACCCTGACAGGGCACCGCCATGCCCTGGGAAGGGGACAGGAACTGCGGGCCTGGCATGGGCAGAAACTGGGAAAGGTGCTGCCCCGAGACAGGCCCTCCTGCCACTGCTCCCGCCCAGCTCTGCACGCAGAGGCCAGGCCTCGGCCCTCCCTGCAGGCCCACAGGCTCTGTGCACCACAGGCTCATGCTTGTCTGGGTTGTCGGCGCAGTGACACCCAGAATCCTGCACAAAGGCAAACAGGTGGCTGGGAGCCAGCTGGGAAGACATCCAGGCAGGCCTCAGGCTGACCTGGAGACAAAACTAGACCCCGGGAAGAACGCAGCATCCTCTCCCGGCACTGCCGAGGGCACTGCTGCAGCGCGGCTGCAAGGGGCTGGGAGGCCCGGGTGGGGCGCGGCCACGGGTCGCTGAGAACAGCACCCCCTCTAGGGAGCACAGGGACACCCCGCCCCAGCCACGGGGACAGGCTCTTGCGCCCCCACCCGGGCAGGGCAGCCCTCGGGCGCCCCCACGAGGCCCAGAGAGACCAGGCCAGAGGCCCTGCCATGCCCACTGCGCTTCTTTCACACACCAACGGTTTCTATATCAGCGTTTCCACGTCTGAAAACTTAAGCTAACAAACACTTTTTTAAAAAAGAAGACCTGGAACAACAGAGATGTTTCTCGGCTATTTCCAGCTCGCCTTTGGCAAAGGCGCCGCCAAGCTGGTGTTAAGCTGCTCTTAGAGCCTGGACCAGACACAGGAGGGGCTGTTTCCAAACTCACCCCCACGGCCGCTGGCCTCTCTCCGCGTTACCAAGCTCGCTTTGGGTAAGACCCCGCGTGCTGATCAACAGCCACGGTCACTGAGAGAAAGGAATAAGGCCGGCCCGTCGCTCAGGGGACATCACAGGCCAGCTGAGGTGGGGAACAAGACTCAGGGGAGCAACGGGCGGGGGTCCGCACAGGCTTGCTCGTTCCCTTAAGGAGAGCCCCTCGGTGCTCATCACCCGTCACAGGCACTAACACCTCCTTTCAAAGGAAAGGTGTGGGCCGGGAGTGTCTCGGACGAGCACACCCCTGTGGTGAGAGATGTGTCCCTGGGCAGCGGAGGATGGCCACATCTGAGGGTCTTGCAAGCGTCCACTGTGTGGTCATGGAAAGCAAGAGGCCGTTTTCTGAGTCCCCCAGGAGCGGGGCCGCTGCCCTGACTCATTCTGCAGAGCTCCCACTCGTTCCCAGGGTGTCACAGACACCCTCTAAATCCGCAGTGCTTGCCGACACTGGGGAGTGAAAACCAGAGGCTGCCCCGTCCTCGGTTAGCTCCGCCTGCGAGGGCCTACGAGGGCCGACGAGTCCCGGGAGCACCTGCCTGGCTTCCTTAGGGGCAACACGAGGCACACAGAGCAGTCACCAGAGCAGCCGCTGAGCAGGGAAGACATTAAAATCACGCAGACGCATGCATTTCGACGGATGAGGGAGGAGGGCATCTGCCGGGGGTATAAGCGACGACTCCTGGTCTTCAGTGAAGGAAGAAGAGATGACTTTGAAAACAGATTACTTTGTTTTTGAGAGGGTGTGTCCTGGGTAGAAAGAAACCGCTGTTTCTCAGTACCTAAAAAGCATGTGAAAAACACACCAGGTGAGGAGATCACCAAGCCAGGAGAGCGGGGGACGGGAGCCGTCTCTATTTAAACACATGGACTGAAGTAAGAGGGAGGTGGCGCGGAACTCGAAAGAGCTTCTGGAAAGCACTAAGGGCCACCGCGTAGACATGTCCGCGTAAACACACAAACCTATTTTATCACGCTGTCTGCACGCACGCACAGTTACAGACAATGCCAACACGTGTACACAGGTTATAATTTTGTCTTACACACACATGCAAGGAACATAAATGAGCATAAATCAAAACGTAAGTGCAAACGAGGAAAACGGCAGGGTGTGTGCAGAGAAGCGCTAGCTCACGCGCCTTCGCGGACGAGTGAATCGGGAAGCTGTCACCAGCCGTTCTGCAGCTAAGGTCACGCCGTATACGACTTTTTAAGAGATTAGGACACAAAAAGAGTCTTCGCACCTACAAAAGCCAATCCCTCCCAGCGCCGCTAGCAGATAACAGGCATAACGCACGACGCCAGTACCATCGCAGCAGAACTCCCGCCAGCGGGCGAGGGCCAGCCCTCCGCAGCCGCGTCTCCAGCAAAGAAGAGGCGCCGAGCCAGCGGGACCGCCAGCCACCAGCGGCGGGGGCTGGGCAACACCCTCAGCTTGACACAGATTCCTAAGGTAAGGATATAACTATTTGTCTTGTAGTCACGCCGTAGCAGAGTCAACATGAAGAAGGCAATGCAGTCCCTGTCAGAACCACCGTGAGGAAATACAGGGACCCAGACAGGTCAGCAGAGTCTCGGAGAGAACGAAGTGGAGACTCACACTTCCTGACGCCCGGATGCCATAGCCACAGTGACCGAGACAGGGGTTAGTCACATACCACAGAAGGACACAGATGAAGGAAGCCGAACAGAAAGTTCAGAAATAGGCTTTCCTATTGATCTTCTCCCAAGAACTGTTGCTGGAAAATCAGAGCTAGCGAAGGTGCCAAGACACTGCAACAGGGAAGAACAATCTTTTCAACAAACGGTGCCAGGACACCTGGGTAAATAGACAAAAGATGGGAAAACGAGTGTCTAAACCCCTTCCTCACACCACACGCCAAAGTCAACTCAAAACAGATCACAGGATTGAAAGAGTGAAAGTCGTGAAAGTTAGAAAAAAACAGTAACTAGCTAATAACTGAAACTGCGCCAGGCTTCCGTAGAGCATCAGATATCCAAGCGAGGAAGGAAAACATGGAATTCCTCAAAGTCAAGAACTTGGACACCTCAATGGACACCTTAGGAAAGCACGAAGTCAACACACAGAACAGGGGGGAGCGTCTGCGAGTCACGTCTCTGACAAGAATCCAGAACACAGAGAACACACGGAGCTGAATAATGGGAGTTATTGACTGAATAACTATTTGACTGAATACTATTTCCTCCCCTGATCTTCATTGTCTTTAAACAAACAAACAAACCCACCACCGCTGAGGTTGCTGAACAACACATATTCACGTATTTTAAACATCAAAGAGTCTAACAAGAGTCCCCGTCTCCTGACCGCGCCGCCCCTCCAGCAGACGGGGATTCCCAACTGCCCAACCACTTTTGGGGAGAACTAAAAACCACCTTTTAAAGCCACAAATACGCCGAGTGCTGTTCTCCTCCAGCCCCCGGCAAGGGAGCAGGGGTCCCTGTGTGTTTAAGAACTCAGGGTGCCAGAGGCCTTCACCCCTCACCTTCTTTGACCATCTTTTACACGCTTTTTAATAACCGTGTAGTATTTCCCAGCATGGATATAGCGTATTTTCATATACAGTGTAAATTCATGACCTATTCAGGGGCATTCAGGCTGCTCCAGTCATTGGTAGCATAAGCCAGGTTGCAAAGAATCATCTTGCACAGCAATTTCCACTTCTCAGGACGCCAAGAGACTTTCGTGATGCCCAGAGGAATGGCTTCAAATACTAGTGGGCATGTGCTCTAGTAATTTTGATAAACTCTGACAAATTGCCCGCCAGAGAAGCGGCAATTAACACTTCCACCAACAATGTCTGGGAGAGGCTGTTCCTGCACGTCCTTGCCAATGGAGCGTGGTACCAGAATTTCCAGTTTTGGCCAATATGGTGTCTGGAAGCTCGCTAGAGTTTGAATTTTCAGTTTTATGAGGTTTTCATCTGCATGTCTCTTGTAAAGACGGGGGGAGCTTTCCCATACACCGCTCCTTTTCAAGGTGCTCTCGGACACACCATTGCTCTGCCTTCTTCGGTGGGGCGGCCAGCCATGCCCTTCCAGGCTAGGGAGCGAACTTTATCCCCGTGATAGAAGAGGTAAATGCTTTTCCAAAGGTTTCTGTTTCTTTTTGGACCTCACTCATGGTCTTTTGAAATGAGTTTGAATGAAGCTTGTCTCGTGCCCTCGGCTCCCAGGCGCGGAGGCTGCAAAGGCCCTGGTGCAGACTCAGCCCATCCCCACACGGTGAATGCGTGTGTCGTGGTAGGCTGAGGATCAGCTCCCCCTGAAAATCTCAGCAGCGTGTGGTACAAAGCAAGGCCCCAGACCGCCAGCCTGATCTCCTGACACCACTTGCCCATCGTCCATCCCTCCCCGCCCCCACACTGGAAAGGCCACGGTCATCAACGTTCCGCTCAGCTGAAGGCAGTCGGGCTGCAGCGTGTGGCCAGGCGCTGCCACGGGCAGGGCTCTGCTACATTGAACGGACTTAAGACATCTTGGAAAGACTCATAAAAGCAGTGACGGCAGTTAACTGAGGGTGAAGATGAAAAATCTAAAACAAAATTTGAGTTAGGGCGCCAAACACTTCTCCCATCTGTGTGCATGGATGTGCACTCCCTTATGTAACATACAGAAAAATGCTGCTTTGAAAGAAAG